TATTAGCACCATCGCGGGTCCCTCAACCTTATCGAAGGATATGGCCATGCCTATGTGTTGCTATCAAATGGCACACAACTTGAAATACCAGATGCTCTATATTCTCCTAGTTCGAAGAGAAATCTTCTGAGCTTCAAGGATATAAGACAGAATGGTTTCCACATAGAAACCCAAGGTCAAGGGAACAAAGAATCCCTCCTAGTCACTAAAACTGTAGACGGCCATAAACAAATCCTCGAAACCATACCCGCGCTCTCTACTGGACTTTACCATGCTAAAGTCAGTATGATTGAAGCTAATACCACTCTCAAAGCCCGGTTTACTGATTATACTATTTGGCACGACCGGCTCGGTCATCCGGGTGCAAATATGATGCGTAAACTAATTCAAAACTCTCAAGGGCATACCCTCAAAGAAAACCGAGCTTATCCTCAACACCTCATGTGCACAGCTTGTTCTCAAGGCAAATTGATCACTCGGCCTTCACCAGTTAAAATCTCTAAACAAACACTTCATTTCCTAGAAAGAATCCAGGGCGATATCTGTGGACCTATACATCCATCTTCCGGACCATTCCGGTACTTCATGGTCCTTATAGACGCATCGACCCGTTGGTCATATGTTTGTCTCTTGTCCTCTCGGAACCAAGCCTTCGCTAGGTTCTTGGCCCAAATCATAAAATTGCGGGCCCATTTCCCTGACTTCCCACTAAAGTCTATCCGCCTTGACAATGCTGGTGAATTTACCTCACAAGCGTTTAATGACTACTGTATGGCCATGGGGGTAACCGTGGAACATCCTGTAGCACATGTCCATACTCAAAATGGATTGGCTGAATCATTCATTAAACGCATTCAATGGATAGCCCGACCATTACTCATGAGATCAAAGCTCCCGGTCTCAGCATGGGGACATGCAGTATTACATGCTGCTGAACTCATACGCATCCGGCCATCTAGTGAACACAAATATTCCCCATCCCAACTACTCTCGGGTCATGAGCCAGACATCTCCCATCTCAAAACATTTGGGTGTTCAGTATATGTACCCATTGCTCCACCACATCGAACCAAAATGGGACCTCAAAGAAGGATGGGAATATATGTTGATTTTGACTCTCCCACCATCATAAGATATCTCGAGCCAACCACTGGAGATCTCTTCAAGGCCAGATATGCGGATTGCCAATTCGATGAATCGGTATATCCCTCTTTAGGTGGTGAGACAAACAAGCTGGTCAAAGATCTTTCATGGAATCAAACATCATTAAATTGGCAAGATCCTCGGACTCTAGAATGTGATTCAGAGATCCAAAAGATTATTCATTATCAAAAGCTAGCTAATCAATTGCCAGATTCCTTTGCTGACCCGACCAAAGTAACCAAATCGTACATCCCAGCTTGTAATGCACCAGTACGAATAGCTGTCCCAACGGGACAGACCCAAGTTGCTACAGAGTCTGCACCACGTCTCAAACGGGGCAGACCTCT